ATTCAGCATCCCACCACAAACTTCTTTTGATATGGTGTTGTATATCTTTATTTCTTTTTTCTTTTGTTGTTTAACTTTTGTTTGTCGTCTTTTGTATCTTAAAACACGGTTCTTTTCACATTTCCCCATTTTTTCCTTTCACTGTTTGCTTTCACTGCTTTTGAAATAAGTGTGTGGTTGCAAGTGAATTAGATAAAATAAATGCTTGGATTTTATAAATCAAATTTTTGCTCAAATATAACCTTGTGACCTTACAAGCATGCTTTTTTGTGTTTACTTGCTTCACATACATTAAAACTTGTGATTTTTGTCATAACGCAAACCGCATTGAGTATTAAATACATTAAAGTGGAGCAAAAAATTTTTGTATCTAAATTTTATTACAAAACTTATATTTTCGATTTTGTTGAAGATAGTGTCAGATTCCATCATCCATAGGTATTGAAGATAATTTTTTAATAGATGTGATGACAGCAAGCGGATTTCGTTTGAGTTATAAGTGTTCTCTAAAATTTACACAATTTTGTTTTAAAATTAGGTGTGATTCTATGCATTAAATCTTGCAAATTTTGTCATAACACAAACTGCATTGATGTTTAATAGAAAATAGATTTTGTTTGAGTTGTAATACAGTACAGTAGATACCCACATATAAAATATAGTAGTTGAAGGTTAAGGTGTGTTTTGTATGTAATATTTTTCATTTCTAAACCTTTTTTAATTCTTCACGATAAGATTTCCCTTGAATTTCTTCTCTGTTGTTATCACAAAGCTTATAAGTAACAGGATTTGTCAAGAAAACTTTATTTATATAAAAAATCTCATTAAACCACTGTCTTAAACTTTCCTTTCAAAATATTATTTTTAACTCTTGAAATTTGTACTTTATTATTTTTCTTTAATATATTTAAATTTTCATCCCTGTTTTTGTTTAAAATATTCGATAATCTTTTGATGTAATTTATTTTTTTCCACCTAAAGAGACATCATTTGGTGAAAGATTGTCAGAAATTAATCCTTGATGAGGAGATTTGTTATATCTTTCCACAATTAAATATAGTATTTTTTAAAAAATAAATTATTTTTTTTGTTTCTCGTTTGCAATCAATAAATTATTTTTTTGTTGCTCGTTTTCAGCATGAGTAGCTTTAATTTCACGATAATAAGTATTATAAATTGTAAAATTATATTTTTTTGACGATTCTTTTTGAATCCCTTGAAAATCATTTCCCTCTTCTGATACTATTTTTTTAGGAAATTCATTTTCTTTCAATAAAATATCTTCAAATTTTTTCATAACATTTTTACTGGATTTATTTTGCAATAAACGAACAAATCCATATCTTGAATAAACATCAACTACACATAACAAACAACGCAAATTATCATTAGATCTTGCCAAATCTTTCATTTCAGCTAAATCAATACTCCATAAATCTTTTTTTTTCATACATTTATATTTAAATGATTATATTCTTTCTTTTTCTTTTGATACAAATTATATATATTTTGTTCATTATCTTCTAAATGTTTGCCTTTTAATAATCTTGCAGCTTTTTTTATAAAATCATCGCTAATTAAATTAGTGTTCTTCGTTCTCCTCCTCATTATCATCATCACTTACAATCTTGGAGGAGGACAATGATAATCATTGAAGACAATCAAGAAAAATGTTATTATATGTTCTTTCGATTTCATCATTTCCATATTTTTTATAAAATTCTACAAAGTCATATTTCTTTCCTATTTTTTCCTGTAAAATTTCATTCATAAATTCGCTATGATAGGCAATGCAATCATATATTGAAATATCCAATTTATTATAAAACTCTTTCAACACATAAATAGCTTCAATATCATTACCATTTTCAATATTTTTTCCTTTTTTTATTTGGTACAATTTTGGCAATTCTTTTTTACTTTTTTTTCTTTAAACTTCCTTTGCTTTGCTTTGTTTTTTCTTTTCTCTTTCAGTTTTTACTAAATCACGACAAGATGCAACAAATTGTCATAATTTTTGTGATATAGTTTTAAATCGCCATCTTTTCTGAAATATACTTTGTAAAATTCATCTATCCAATCAATCATTGAAATATCATTTAGATCACAGGGTTTGAAACATCCCACTCACTATCAACAGAAACAGTTACACTTTCATCCACAGTACAAGATGATTTTTGTGTGTTGAAAACTAATTTATCTGGATCACGCTACAAAATAACACGATTTTCATAAGATGAAAACAAAACTTCATACAAATCTTCACTTTCATTTTTATTAGCAATTTTATTGAACACACTTCCTAATTTTTCACATGCTTGCAAATTTAATTGCAACTCATCTTTACAGAACAATCCATCATTGTATGGAGAGTAAACAGATTTTGAAAAAAACATAGCTTACTAAAACAATTAAAACTGCATACTTTATTTCCAAGGATTTCTTTTCCATTACAATAACTTTGTAAAACTGTTACAAAATCTCTAAAATTTTTTTTGTAAATGCTATACTCTTGAGCCATTTCTTTTATCTTTTCGATGTGTTGTTTGAAAGTATATGAAAGCAAATGATACAAAACATGAAAAAACACTATGTATATATACAGTATAATTTTTTTACAAAATAATCAACAAATTTTTTTATTATTACCATTCCATTTTTGTTACATTAATAACTGGTCCCTTAAAAAATTATAATTCTTTACGAATATCTTTTTCTATATATTTTTGTTCATTTATATAAATATTATGTTTTTTGAGGTATAATCTATATTTTAAAATAAAATTATAAAGTCTTTTTTGATCATTAATTGTCAATTCATTAGTCTTTGATAAAAAGTGAACAATATACTTTTTAGAAAAATTCTTCTAAAAAATTTTTCATCAAATTGAAACAAATATTTTCATTTAAAATAACAGTGAATTAAGTCATTCCCCTTCATCATCACCACCAATACAGATACAAGTACTTTTATGGAGTAAAATATTTAAATCCTTGATATTTTCTTCCAATACCTCTACCGTGTCTTTAAAATTTCCAATTTCTTCAAACAAATCTGTAACTTTTATAAATTTCTGTATATCAAGAATTTTCTTTTCTTGGTATTCTATCTTTTTCATAAAAATCTCTTCAATAATATAACCATGATACCAAATAAGCCATTATATTTGTGATATTATTATTAAACAAAAAAATAATATCACAAAAGATGTTAGAATCAAATCATCTACAAGACTTTCATTGAGTAAAATGTTTAAATCCTTGATATTTTCTTCTAATATCTTTACACTGGTCTTCAAAATTTCCACTTCACTACTATTCGTTGAATGTATTTCTCTCAATTTAATAAGAATGCAACCAGATATAAGTAAAAGACAAAATTAGGAATCATCCATTTCTCTCTTCTTATTGTTCAACAACATCCATTATATATACCCATACAACATTAAAATAATAAAAATAATACATAATACACCCAAAAAAAATTAAAAATAGCATCAACATCATCATCATTTTCCATTTTCATTCAATAGTTTTTTCACTTCTATCAATTTCTTTAATTCAATAATTTTCGTTTCTTGATCTTTTATCTTGTTGTTAAGAGTTTCAATTTTTACATTCAATTTTTCAAAATCTAATTTTAAAGCATTCGCTTCTTTAGATTTTTTCCCAATTTCTTCCAAAGACAATAAAAAAAATCCCTATAAAATTTTTGCTTATTCACCGACATCAATTGAATCTATAGTTATAAATATTTCATAAGAAATTTTTTCCAAATGAAATCATGAAAAATATGATCATGTTCCAAAACATATATATATACAAAGTGTATTAGGGATAATATTCCTGGATAAAAGAGCGCTCAATATTCTATATATTAGAAGAGCGTAAGATAAAATGAAATAAAATAAAATGGACAAGTGTTTGTTGTCGCTACTCGGAGATTCACGCCGTAGGGCGATCTTCAGGCAACTGACAGATTATATATTATTTGTTGACTATATACATACTCAATATTCTATATATTAGAATGTATTCTATATATTATCCATAATATATTCGCTCCTTTCAGAAGTTGAGCGCTGTTATAAACCTGAAAACTCGAGAACAATTATGCAACAGATTAATTTTAACTATTCGCTGAAAAACATTGGCCTACCAGCTGATCGATGTGTATAGTCAGCAAATAATATATAATCTGTCAGTTGCCTTAAGATCGCCCTACGGCGTGAAACTCTGAGTAGCGACAGCAAACATTTGTCCATTTTATTTTATTTCATTTTATATACAAAGTGTATATACAATGTGCCCTCCCGGCTATCACTATATTAAAATGTTGACTCCTGCACTTGGGACACAGGACGTACCGTTGTATATATATATATATACACACACTGTCGGAATGTGTAGAGTCTCACATGTAGACGTTCACCGTGTTCGCGATACGCAAAGCTCACCTTTATAGGTTTGAGCACTGTGGTGACTCTACAATACAATCCATACAATGTGTAACCATATATATATATAATTGAAAATAAATAAAAACCACGAATTACTTCATCGAAATTTATTCCCTACAGAACTGTTTCGTATGGCAGTTGTTCAACTTGCCACACTCGTCTTATACACAAAGATGAATAATTAAGTGTTTAGGTGATATAGTATTACATTAATGACGTTAGTAAGTGTTTACTAACGTCATTAGATAAAGCCCGGCGCACACTAGAGCTCTCAGCTGAGCTGAACGTCACTTGTAGCTCTTGGCGTGAGCCGTTTCCTCAAGTGTGCTGTGTCGTTTTTTGTGATTCTGGTCACACGTGCTGGCGGCGTCGGATATTCAACATGTTGAATATTTTTGGCAGGAGTGAACATTGCCTCACAGTGTGCGCGCAATCTGAGTTGGCAGCTCAGCACTTAACAGCTAATGCACATGCGCAGTTTGCGTTGTTTTTATTATTACACTACTAACATGGCGAATAAACGAAACAAACGACAGCACTATGGCAAGCACTAGTAGTAGTAATGAAAGCCATGATTCGAGTTCAAGCTCGTCTCAAGACGAAGAGGTTTTGCTTTGCTTATTATTGCTGCGAAGAAAACGAAGACGCTTAAGAGCAGCCTGTCGACAGACCTGGGTAAAACCTTGGATTTTGCGCAGGCAAACGCAAGGAGCAAGTGAGAATATTGTTCGTGAATTGAACTGCGAACATCCAGAAAAATTCAGGCAATATCACCGACTTGACAGAGACACGTTTGAAGAGGTTTTGACGATAATATGTCCTTTAATTGAGAAGAAAGACACCCACCTTCGGAGCGCTTTAAAGCCTATCGAAAGACTGTCCGTGACATTACGTTTTTTAGCAACAGGTTTGTCCTTTTTGAATTTGTGTTACTAGGCCGTATAATTTGTCCTTTATTAGTTGATGAATTTGTATAAAGTGAAATAATATCTATAGGTGAAACATTCAGAAGTCTTTCTTTCCAATATCGAATCGGTGAGAGAACAATATCTGGAATTGTGGAAGAAACCTGTCAAGCTTTGTACGAAGTTCTAAAGGGCAAATATTTAAAGGTATAATTTTGATTTTGTTACATGAACAACTATAACACTGAAAAAAATACTTTTACACTGTTGGGCTTGACATAAAAGAGTTTCGACAAAATTGTTTGTCTACAGAGATCATTTAATAGTTATCATCTCTGTAAGATGCACTGTTCTCCCCATAAATTGAAGGTGGTGGGCTTGTCAACATACCGGGTTGCATGACGGGGTGGAAGTAGTTTCTCTGGGGTTGTGTCACTGTTTGGGTTAGGGAAGGTGGCATCATTGTTTCCAGGGATAGTAATCCAGCTTGTGCTTGGAAAATAATGTTGCTTATTTTGTGCTGTGCTAAGTGGCCTGTTCGACTGTCTAATTCAGACAATGCTTGTGCAACATAATTTCCAAAAGCTTCAAAAATTGTATTATTCTTTTTTTCCTTCTCGTCGTCTTTTATTCTTGTTTTCAATTGACTGTGACAAATTTTGTAGCAAGTGAAACTCTTCTTCAGCCTGTTTTCTTTTGGATGAGGTTTGTTTTCTAAGTGGTTCATTTGTAGATGTTGCAGGCATTAGGTCATTACCTACTTCCTCTGTTATGTTTGTTGGGCTACCAGGAGGTGACGGGTGAAGTGATTCAGCTTCACATTCATTGTCATCAGCATTAAAACTCATTTCTGATATTGGAGTATTACCTCGTGATTCCTGAAAAAAAATATTTTATTTTTAGACACCCAGCAATAAACAAGATTGGCTACAAATTGCATCAGATTTTAATAGCAAGTGGAATTATCCATGCTGTTTAGGGGCCATAGATGGAAAGCATATTGCTTTTCAACAACCAGCAGATACAGGCTCAGAGTTTTTCAACTATAAGCATTTTTTTAGTGTGATCTTATTGGCCATGGTTGATGCTAATTATAGATTTGTTTATGTTGATGTTGGGGCAGCTGGTAGAGCAGGAGATGCTAGAGTTTTTTCTGAATCAGCTCTGAAAAAAGCACTAACAACAAACTCATTACATCTTCCTGATTCAATAGAATTACAAGGGATATCAACTACGATATCATATCATGTTGTAGGAGATGATGCCTTTCCTTTAAATGCTTGGTTGATGAAACCATACCCATATCGCAATTTGAAGAAAGACAAGCGTATATTTAACTACAGGTTATCACTAGCTCGTAGAGTTGTTGAAAATGCCTTTGGCATTTTTGCTCATCGGTGGAGAGTATTCTTAACAACCATTAAACTATCTCCTGAGAAGGTCACAGACATAATTTTTGCTGCCTGCTGCCTACATAATTTAATGGTTGATAAAAACAAAGCCAGGTACACATCAGCTGTGGACCAAGAAAAAGCAGATCATACATTGTTGAGAGACTGGAGAAATGAAAAAGCTTTAAGTAGCATACAACCGACCACCCTCCACAATGCACAAAGGGATGCCAAATTACAAAGAGATCTTTTGGCAAATTACTTTAATGGCTATGGATCTGTTCCTTGGCAACACAATATGGTTGTTTAGCCATACTTTCATACGTGTTATGTTCATAATAAAGTGTAAATTATTTCTTTTTAAACTGTTGTATTATTTAACTGTCCAAAACTTCAATACAAACTTACCAAATCAATACTTGAAACTGAAGCTCGCGTTGCAATGTGAGGTGTTAAAAACTGAAGCTTTTCCAGTAGCCATTGAGTTCGTTTTGTCTGGTTTTTCTGGCACTCCCACTTGGTGGAGGCTTCTTTGCTTTACTAAAGCTATTTCTTAGTGCTCTGATTTTAGCTTTCACCCATTCACCTAACATGAATTTGAAAAATGTTTAGTAACTTGTTATATCCAGATGGTGCTACGCATACCAGTCACATCACCTGCTCAAGAAACATGAAATGACAAATATATATTTTAAAATACCTATATTTTATTTTGGATAGAACAATTTCGATATTTCTCTTACTTGTAGTTGCAAATTTTTCGGCCAGTTCTTGAAGACTTTGTCACGCAATTCTCGATTTTTAAATTCTGGGCAGCGTACATCATAAAGGCAAGGATAATCGGGCCAAAAATCTGCCAATTTATCTTCCAGCATTGCTTCAGCTATTATTGAGCTGTTTGCCGCCATGTTAGTAGTGTAATAATAAAAACAACGCAAACTGCGCATGTGCATTAGCTGTTAAGTGCTGAGCTGCCAACTCAGATTGCGCGCACACTGTGAGGCAATGTTCACTCCTGCCAAAGATATTCAACATGTTGAATATCCGACGCCGCCAGCACGGGTGACCAGAATCACAAAAAACGACACAGCACACTTGAGGAAACGGCTTACGCCAAGAGCTACAAGTGACGTTCAGCTCAGCTGAGAGCTCTAGTGTGCGCCGGGCTTAACGTCGTAAGATGATGAAGAATTTCTCTGAGAGGCATAAATTACAGCGTTTGGTTTTGATTGAGTAAGGTTGTGATTTCTTTACAATTTTCCAGTTGATGGTGTACGGTGTTAGAGTCTTTTAGTTTCCATATGTGTTTTCTGAGCTCTGTGGAGTGTTGTTTTGATTTATTTCGGAAGTGGTGTGGTGAGCTGGTGCGGTTCAAGTAGCGTGTTTTAAAAGTGTTCTCCGTTGGACCAATGTAGGTTTCTTTGTGTTTGGTTAGTGTGTTGGTGACTGTGGCTTGGTAGACTACCCCTTTGGTTTGGCATTCTCCTTTTAGTGGGCATTCCTCTTTCTTCCAGCAGTTGCATTTTCTGTCTGTGGTGGCGTTTTTCATCGTTTCTTCTTTGGTTAAAACGGTCGTATTGTGTGTAGAAATTATTGTATCGATGTTTGGCATGCAACTGTAACTTAAGCTTAAGTGTGTTTCTGTTGATAATTTTGCTGAGTGGATGGTTTTTTGGAAAGGACCTGTCGATTATGTTAAGGAACTTGTGTCCGTTGTATGTGTGGACATTGGAGTTGTATGGTGGGTTGTACCAGGTGATGTTTCTATTTCTGTTTTGTGACTTTTGTGTGGCTTGTGGGTTGCATTGTAATTTGTAGTTAAAGCCGCTTTTTGTTAGTGCTTCTTGGTATGGGTGTATGCTTGAGTCGAATGATTGTTTGTTGGATGAGATTCTTAAGAGCCGCTGGTTGATGGTTTCCGGAATTCTGCGTAGGATAGATGGGGGTTGGTTGCTGTGAATGTTTATGTATTATCAATTCTTAGTGTAATTCTTCCCATCGACTTTACACTAAGCCCAACACATCTTTGCAATACATCCACCACGAAAGCAACCATCCTCCAAGCATTACAAAGAACATACCCCATACCATTAACAAACGCCTTTCATCCTTATCATTCGACGGAGCATTATTCGACCAAGCAATTCCTCCATACCAAAAAGCACTTGACGAAAATGGATATCATTACACACTGAAATATGACCCGAACGCTACTACGAAATGGAAAAACAGACTTACAAATAACATACTCTAGTACAACCCACCATACAGCAAGAACGTCAGCACAAACATTGGCTGCAAATTCATTTCACTAATTAACAAGCACTTTCCCATAGACCACAAACTCAGAAAACTATTTAACCACAACACAATTAAATTAAGTTACAGCTGCATGAACAATATGGAAAATATTATTAATAACCATAACAAACGCATATTGAGAGAACCTGGCAATACTAATGACACCATCAATGACAAAAATACACAAACTAAAACATGCAACTGCTGACAAAAACAAAACTGCCCACTTAACGGAAATTGCCTACAATCACCTGTCATCTACCAAGCAACTGTTAAACGTTTGGACACTAACACAACTGAGACTTACATCGGACTTACAGAAAACGAATTTAAGACTCGACACAGGAACCACACTGCCTCTTTCCGCCACAAGAAACTAAGAAACTCCACCGAACTCAGCAAACACATCTGGACACTAAAAGACAACAACATCGCTCAAGATATCTCATCGAACATCATCACTCACAGCAAACCGTACAACAGCGCCAACAAAAAATGCAACCAATGCCTGAAAGAAAAATTCTTTATCACCTACCAACCACAACTATCATCACTCAACAAACGTAACAAATTTATCTCCTCTTGTCGCCATAGACACACAAGGCAATTTTATCCAATTTGTAACCATACACTCAACATATTATGTAATTCTATCTTAATTTTTACCCTAACTTCCTCTTGTATATATAACCTAGCACATGCTTTTATATTCATTTAATATTATCCCCTGAAGAGTGAGAAATAACGAAACAGGCTTGTTGGGATGAAATTATAGTTTTTGTGTATTTTCTTCTTATCATCAATATTTACGCTCTGCTCTTAAGCATCGAGCAAGGTACTTACGGAGATTCAAATAAACAAAACTTCCTATAATGGGATATAATATATATATATAATATCTATTATATAATATATATATATATATATATATATATACAGTGGCATGGTGGCAGGGGGGGCCAGGGCCCCCCTAGGATTGAATAAGAATCATCAATTGAATACGAATCATCAAGTTTAAAAATGGACTATAAAAAATCAGTGAATGAAGTTAACTTTAGGGAATTAGGGAAGAAAGGAAGTAGACAGACCAAAATAAAACCTTGTAAGGGGGTCGATTAAAGAATAAGACATAGACGAGCATTCTATAATTAGATGTTTCGTTTGTGGCCACAACGCCTGCATGCTTTGCCACGATGACTGTAGACAACATACATGCAGAGGAGAACTAGAATGCTAATTGTGGGGGTGAATATTCATATATTCAGCTTTGCCCTGTTGAGTTCTATTGAATTTAACATCGCCAACAAAAGAAATCAACAACAAGGCAGAGCTGAATATATGAATATTTACACACCCCCCCAATTTGCATTCTAGTTTCGCCTATGCATACACGACCAAATTGTCCTCTTAAGAGACCCAACAAGGCCTAAAATATGTAATTTTTTGCCTATCTTAATCAATGCTTTTTGCTTCTTGCTTCCCTCACAGACAGTAATCGTTACTGGCATTGTATCTTATTAT